TTCTAATTATTTAGTATTTAAAAAGATATTTTATATCATATGAACTAGCAAGTAATAAAAAAAAATATTGTTCACTTGTTTTCAGTGCACTGGTTTTATGATGACTACCAAAGGACTTCCTAGCTCTTTCAACAAAGATCTCCAGGAAGATAAGGAGGCAACATTTGATGTCTTTGATACAATGGAAGGTGTGTTACCAATTGATCATAACTAATATTATTATTTATAATATATAATAATGTATTTTGTTTTGTCCTACCTGACAAGTTATCGTACAAAATACTCAGCACATACAAATTTGCAAGTGATTTAGTCAAACCCATGACCTCCCGATAACTAGCCTGGTGTCATAACCACGAAACCACAGACCTTGTGCTTAGTGGTAAGTGTTGAATTCAGTCCCAAGTAGTAGCAGGTACTGCAATGCTATTTTTGTGTCTGCATCAGAAAAATATCATAGGAGTGATCTTTTCCCCTACCTGACATGCTATCCTACCAAATAATCAGTAATGTATTTTCTATTGCTGATATATAGTAAATAGCAATGAAAATTATTTTGTAATAAAGGTACCACTCTGTATTGCATGTTACATTTAAATTGATACTATGTCCTTCAGATGTTATTAGAGTGGCAACCGGTGTAATATCAACACTTTCAATTGATCGAGAGGCAGCTTATAATGCTTTGAGTCCAGATATGCTGGCCACCGACATAGCCTACTATCTTGTGAGGAAAGGGGTAAGGGAATCATTACTGTACTTTAAATTGTACCTTTATCCCCCTAAATTCTCTCTCTTGCATACTGTACATTTCTCAGTGCAATGGTCCTCTCTGGGAAGGTACAGTATCATAAGCATCTACAGTATGTGTTGTGATTGGATTGGATTGGATTTCTTTGGTGTTGATACACAGCAAGGAAAACCCACAACAGTCCATCGGGGTCCTTCGGAGGTTGAATTGGGCAGCACATCGAATATGGCATATATCACAGTTATTTGTTACATAAAATTTGATAGTGTTGACAGATCATTACACACACATTACTGTATATCAAGCAACTTTATCCTGTTTACTACTGAACCATATTTCTTTTTCCTTTTAGGTTCCTTTTCGAGAAGCTCATGGTTTATCAGGTTCAGTGGTGGCGCTGGCAGAGAAAAAGAACTGTGTGATGTCGTCGCTATCTCTTGATGATATGAAGACTATTAGGTAATGTCTTCATGTGTCTACTGCAGGGGGGATGTAGACACTTAGCTATATCATCTCATTTGTAAGTTCTAAGAGAGTAAATTCGGTTGGAGGAATGATGGGATGGGTCATAATCTAAAGATTTATAAGTTTGAAGACTTGGAAAGCAGCTAGATAAGATCTGTCCTAGAAAGAATTGAAAGTCAACAATCTGTCACCTGGGAGACTTTTTTTTTATAATGAGTTACTTAGTCTTGAATGATGGTTAAAATAATAAATATTATAACACACCTAAATAGATCCCAGTCATTTGATTGGTTGATTTCTTACCACGGGACATTAGTTGTTTTGCCCATTTCATCACTCATCGTTGAAATTTTGTTCCATTGTGCATTTTTTTTTCATCCGTTGCACATTGCCTGTGGATATGAAATGACTTCAAACTATATACAATCTTTTTGATCGGTTAAAAATGACGCAGGACTGACTTTTTTCAGAAGGTTAAATTCATGAATCAACGTCACGTTACCTATAACCTCTACTTATAAGCCTACTTCTTGTTGAACTTGTCTAAGCGATGTGCAGTGTATTGGAGAATTTGTTTACTGTAAAGAGCTGTGAAGTATTTTAATTGCATGTATGATACCTCAAAAACTAGCTCAAACTTGTGCAAAATCTGTGTGGAATTCGACCCTTTTTAGGTAGGTTTTTGCGCGGAGGATAGGCCTAGGCCAGGCTAGTTAGGTCTAGACCGAACCGCTCTCGTTGAATGGAACAATCTTTCAACTCATGAAAATATTCTTCCCATTGCACTTATAAACATTCATTATTAGTATACTATTACATTCTTAACAGGGGTAAGATAAATTTAGTTCTCTAATTACATTAATAACTTAAATGTTTTGTGTATTATTAGCTACAGTGATTTTATTGTTAAAATAAATGAAAAAATAAAAGATGGGAAAAAAGCCAAATAGAAACATTAATAAAGTACATAGTACATAACATTTCCTTTAAGGTACTGTAGCACACTGTACCCTTGTAAGTATATATAGCCACTGTACCTCTAAAACAACTTACCCAAACAAGCATTCACATTGACATTAGATATATCTATGTATGTGAATGCTTCTCAACCTTTCTCTATTTTGTTTGCAGTTCTTATTTTGAAGAAGACGTGAATAAGGTGTGGAATTATGAGAACAGCGTTGAGCAGTACACCTCCACAGGCGGTACAAGCAAAGCAAGCGTATTAGCACAGGTGGATCAACTAAGTACTTGGTTAGAGGATATGAAAGCCAAGTAAAAGGGAACAGCTCAGTGGTTGCAGGAAGGGCTTAAGGGCATACCCCCGCCTGTCAAACATCGCCCAGTTTTCCTAAGAGAAAGGGGTTTACACCATTGAACTGCCCTCTGTCCTATCAGAAGGTTCTTTCCCTCCAACTCCCCCACCAATTGATTTTATATAAATTACTATACTTTTATTCATTTTGATATCTGAAAACTACAGTGTAGTTATTACCTCCATCAAGAAGGTTATGTATTTATCTGTGTGTTATATGTGTTTGTCTGTTTAGCATAAATAAACAAAAACTAGTTTATTAATTTGGTAGATAAGGGTCTACTAAGGAATCATACTTTTGAATTAGCATGTCATATGTATAGTTAATAAACCAAGAAAGGTACCCAGAAATTTCACTTCAACTTCGGATGTCTGCTTCTGTTGCTTGGCTACTTGTGGTTTATAAAAATTAAAAATAAATGCTTTCTGATCATAATGAAATAGGGGTATTATACAAAAATGTATGTATGTATGTATGATGGGGCCGATCCAGAGAAAAGTCTGGGTAAGGACGTGCGAAGTGCAGGGGATTCGGAGTAGGCCTACAGTTCCACACTCCCCTCTTTATTTCTCTCTTCTTTGGAGGGCTTAGCCCCTGTTGGCCCCTGATTCTGCCCCTGGTATGATTAAAAGTAACAAGTATTTTTGAATGATTAAAAGACACTCAAAATATAAGTAACATTAACAAATCTTTATTATGCTTATATACAAACTTTACATCAATTCTTGGTAAAATTTTAAAAATGTTCAGTAACAGACATAAAAGAAATTGGTTAATTATTGAAATTATGTTACATTTTTACATACCAGGTACAGTTTAAAGTTCTTGCCAAATATCTTCTTTTTAGAAGAATGCACAATTTCCTAGAGCATTAGGTTACAAATATATCAACAATAAAAAAGTGTACATTGTTAAAATGTGTAATAAAAACAGTTATGTGTGAAAGTCTGATTGTGTAATGTATGTAATCCATTTATAACTTACAAGCCTAAAATATACTGTAAGCTCGAGTTTAGGAGTTTCACAAGAGTTTTTTTTTGTCTTAGTCTTAATCAGTGTATAAAAATATAATATTTTCAATACTTCATTTCATGAGAAACATCATGCTAGTTTTTTCCTACCTACCTTAAACATTTTTCTTTTTAAGAATCTTTCTTAATTGTCTTCTTAAGTATGCTACAAATTCTCTTGAAAACCCCCTTTGATTCCATTAGGTTCTCGTTAGGAGGATGTGGTGAGATGTCTTTGGAAAATTTGCTCCAGTGGGGGACACCAGATTTATTTGGTGTCAAGTCATCTTTTACCAGGAACTTTGTCGTCCCTTCAGTCTTATCCTCAGTCTTTTCTTCCAATTCACCACTCTCGTATCCTTCATTTTCAGTCCTTTCGGAACTGTAGCCTGGGTCTTTCAGGGGAACTTGCACCTCTTCACTACTGTCCTCATGGTAACCTTTTGTTTTATTGGTAGAATCCCCATCACCTGACTGAGAATCTTCATCTTGATTGGCTGACTGTACTTCATTTGATCCATTCTCACAATCGGTTACGGTGAAGAGTTCGCCATTAACGGTAATCATCTCACCCGTATCTGACGTACCCTCCGTGTCCCCATCCTCAAAAGCTGACAGCAGATTCAGGCGTTGTTGTTCCAGATCGTCAAGAGTTGGCGACTCGGTTCTGCTGCCCTCTTGTGAATTGGCTGCGGAGCATGGTGAAAAGGTACCAATATTGTTGGCGTCACTGTCTAACGATCCACAACTTGGTGTCCGACTCATCACTGGCGTGTTTCCATCTTGGATTTGAGGACTGCAGGGTCCTGATTGTGGTGTTCTGCCGGGAGTAGGAGGTGGTGTAGATGTTGGTAGTGGTGGGGGTGTTCGATAGCCAGGTGTGAGAGGTAAAGGTGGCTTAAAATTTTCATCATGTAGTGGACTTTCACCTGCTTTTGTCGAAGTCCTCTCAGTATCACTATCTGTTAAAAGTAACCAAAAATATATATATTAAACAGATAATATATTGATACAGTATTTACAAATAACAGCGTTATTAGTTTTCAACATGAAACTTATCACTCTGCAAGTCTGTCTATGTATGCACGCCGGCCTGTTGTAGGCAGAAGCCCACAAGATGCAAATAATTATTTGGAGTTAAAATCACTCAGAAATCCAAAGAGTTACATCTTTCTCGTGGTGAATTGGACAGTACAGCAAGCAAAGATTTCTTGCTCTTTTAGGAAAAGCGTATTGCGATCTTCAACGTGCACATGCGTCATATCACACAGGGCTGTTTGAACTTTATGTTGGAAAGACATTGCACTATAAAAATTGCATTTTAGCCTCCAGCAGAAACACAAGGAGTGTAGCAATGGAAGGCTATGTAATGAACTAAGTGGTTCAGTAGTAACATACCAGTAACTGTCCTTTACCTGAAACACTGGTGTCCATACTCTCATCTAGCCTATTTTCTATTCTTCGCTTTTTAATTTCCTCTGTTGTGTCATCATCAGTGAAGTTTTTTCTTCTTTTAGATGTGTGTTTGCGATCAGCTGATTTTGGCAAGCGTTTTGTAAAAGCCTCGATACGATCTTTTGGCTGAATAGGGGGCATACCAAACCTCTCGCACTCCTAGAATCCAAATATATAGAAACTGAAAGGTCCACTGATTAATCTCAGATAACAAAGTATAATACATACTCCAAGTATTGAAATACACGCCATTGTGTTGGGATTCAATATTTCGACATTAATGATGTCATCATCAGGAATGATCCATTCCTGATGATGACATCATTATTCAATATTTCGACATTAATGATGTCATCATCAGGAATGATCCATTCCTGATGATGACATCATTAATGTCGAAATATTGAATCCCAACACGATGGCGTGTATTTCAATACTTGGAGTATGTATTATACTTTCTTACCAAATATATAGCTATTTAATAATGAAGTAATAATTTTTTTGTATACTGCGCTTGCACAGATATACTCTATGCTGTGGTAGTGAAATTCTATGTAAAATGTCATGTGTTCAGGTTTATTTCAGTTCATTTCTTTTGACACGCATGTGCTGACAGATGACCGATGGCTAACGGCACCTTGTTCGATTTTTAATATACCCTTTAAATGGCTCTAATATTTTGAAAGGTAGTGTAGAAGGGATTTCTGTAAATGGTAGTTACCAGTTTTCAGTCAAATAGGTAGAGCAGGAGTCTTTTTAGAGCACTCATTGTTTTTATACAGGTGACA